GTCCAGGACAGGACAGGGCTACAAAATGATCCATCAGGAGAAGCCAAGGGAGCTGGGTTTGAAGTAAAGCAGGCAATGTCATGCAGTCTTTTACTACCTCTAGGGAGATGATGGAGGAGATGGAGACAAGATCTTCCTCCAAAATGAGCAGCAAAGGGACAAGGGTCTAATGGCTATATAGCAGCAAAGAAATTCCAGTTAGGTAAATGGAAAAAAACAAGGGAGGTAAAGGTTGTCCACAAAGCTTTGTCCTTGGGGTATCAAAAGGCCTGAGGAACCCAACTTCCCCACTTTGGAGCGAGTCCTGGTGTGAGCAGGAGCCTGGGATTAGATCAGCACACGAAGTGCCTTCCAACCACAATCATTCTATTACTGCAATTCTCTAGAGAAATATGAAACCTTTTTTTTTTTTTTTCCTTCTCCTTCCCTGTAGATTCATGATTCAAAATTGCAGAAACTGTTCTCAGAATTACTGCATGCATGAGGCAGGCACATTTTAACAGTGAACTCTTTGTGTTCTGGGAGCAGCATCCAAGAATAACCCAAAGAAACCACCTTATTACAAATACGTTATTTAGGCAACAGTCCTTTCTACACTCAGAGGCCCTAACTACTTCCTCATCTGTTTCAGGATGAAACAAGATCAATGCTGTTATAGCACCTGGATTTAAGAGGTCTCATTCTTACTAGCAAATCTAAAATTTACTTTCTGCATGAAGTTTGATCTTTGTGAGACTGGAGAAACATACAGTTATATATTGCACACCCAAAAAGGATGCTAGAATAAGTAGGTCAGATGCTAGGAAACTCCTATTTTAAGGCTGAAGTGATTATAAATCAGATTAACTCTGAAGGAGAAAAGGTTCATTCATTGCTTAGACCTGTGCCATAGGGGAGCTTCCTCCCACTCAATAAGGCAAATCCAAGTAAAAACTGACACAGAATTTCACCAAACTAATCTCCAAGCACCGATTTCCCCCTGTGATACACAAGGCAAATATAACCTTGTGAGCAAATTTGAAAAACAGGAATGGCTGATGTCCCCGTGGTGGCAGACTAAGAAAAGGAGGACTCTTTGCCAGTACGGGGGAAATCTGTGAAAGGTCCAATTTCTACAAACTTGGAACTGGGTAGGAAACAGCCCTATTCTCCTGTGAAAGATTTCAGAAGTTGTCTCATGATGAAATACCCGGAAAAAGGAAATATTTTTGAGAACTTATTATTCCTACCTCAAATATATTTAGACACTTTGTCTGAAATGTTTCATTTTCATTTTTACCTTTGTTCTTTCAGAATTAAAAGCCATTTTAAAAGTGAAGTAAAAGGTGATATTTTAACTATTCTGTTTTTTTAGCCTTTCTTCTTCCTGCAGCACACATGGATGCTGACCTGCAATTCTCTAGAAAAAAATCAACATATTCCAAGGAAAACATATTTCATTGGCAACTTCATCCTGAATAATATAAGAAAAAAAGGCCTTTGAATTCTCCCAAAGCATCACAGTATCATCATGAATTTTGTGTTTACTGAAGATTAGTGGAATATTTTTTCTGTCTGCAAATTGTATGTTAACAAGTCATCATAAGTTACTGATATCTCTTAATTACTTCTAGCAGAGATATTCCAAAACTGTATTTGCATGAGCTCAGCCTTGAGGAACGGGATAATAAAAATTCTAGAAAGACGAAAAACTTACTTATTCCACATACGGACTGTGCCAGTGCCAAAAAAAAAAAAAAGAAAATCCCTAAAACAACAGTGGCGTCTCCCAATGAAAGTTACCTTGGTAGCTACCTACCATTGGAAATGCTAAAGGCTGTTCAACTGCAACACATCTCCCTTCTTCCCTCCCGAAGCCCCTGGGGATGACAACACAGCAGCACAGCAACAGCAACCTAAAAGTAACAAAGTTAAACACTAAGCCATAAAATCTCATTTAATTGCTCTGTTTTGGAATAGAAGTTGAAGAAAGCAGCTCTTTCATCCTACTCTGCCACAAAATGACCACAGCCAACAAGCACATGAACAAACAACCCATCAGCTCGCTGATTTATCCTCTGCTTTAAACGTTGCTGATTGAGAAAAGGGTCAGTTCAGCTAGGCAGGTGAAGAACAGCGAGACCATGTCAGGCTGTCCACATATGAATGCACTCACTGTCGAGCTCCTGCTATATACTTGTCTTTGAGAGAACAGCTTGGACTTGATTGCAGGGTTGTCACAGGGCAATTTCTGTGAACTCACTGAAAAGCCAGCCCCCACGGGTTACATTGCTCAAGGATAATTTCAAGTGGGAACTATTTTAAAATCATACATTTAAAGTTTATTGAAGCTATGGTTGCAATTTACACTGGTTGGTTTGTTACAATTAGCATTTTACATTTGAAATAACATTTTTAGGAAAAGGGAAGGGAACCAGAATATCAGTGTCAATTCTGTATTATTTGCTACAGAATCAGTTTGAAGCGCACCCCATATGATGCGGTTTGATTTTATAATCACCCCTGCCTCCTCCAGGAATATATTTCTCTGCTTGTTTCTGTGTGAAATGCACCTGCAAATGTCAGGAAGCTGATATGCCACAAATTGCTGTCAAATGCATAAGAAGACAATGGCATTTTTTTTCTCTGGCACTCCTATTTTAGCAACCCTATTGAAGATAAGACAGACAGACAGATCTGCAATTTTAAGCTGCCCATGACAGGGAGGCAGCTGTACCAAAATAACTAGAAACCCGAGTCCCTTCTAAAAAGAGCAGATAGAGAACCATCACTGACAGTGCAAACTGTTGTGCTACCTCAAATAACCCCATGAATTTGTCTCAGCACAATCCTCAGACCCTTTTTGGGTGAGGAAAGCAAAGTTCTAGCTGTGCACAGCCCACTCTGCTTGTATTGGCTTGTGTTCGTGCTGCAACACAAGCCTGTGACCATGAACGCACTTCAGGTTAGCGAGCAGCCACAAAGCAGCTGTTTCCAGGACATATTTACTAACTTGGGCAATGATCAGTCCATGAAAAGGCTGCATATCTCACTGCTGGATTTTTGCTAAGCATATCACCTTAAATAATCTTTCAATATGTTTTCCAAGTCAGGCAAAACATGTGTTGTAACATGACAGAAGCCAAGTGTTTTATGGTGGCAATCAGTGCAACAAGCTGCACCACAGAAGTGTTTATAGCAAAGCTTCAAGGCAACTTCCTTTTTCTGCAAACATGGATGAATGTGTGTGGAATAAAATAAATCTCCAGATCTTCCTTAACACCTATGGGTTTCTGGTGAGCTCTGCCCAGTGGCCGTAGGTGCTCATGGGTGCTGTAGCAGCTGCCGAGAGGTGCTACCTGGAGGGCTCTGAAGACGGACTCGAACCGTGGAGGCTCCTAACACCTCCTCAGCGTTGGCTATGCTTTTTTAGTTTCTAAAACAGGTAAATACAGGATATTTGGTAAGCATTGGCCAAATGCTAGATCTTCCTTTAGCCTATAGGGGGATCCTGGGCCTTGTTTACTGCTGTTACCTGGGTGGCTAGGGCTGAAATTCTTTTTGTTTTTAGCTCTAACAGAAATTAAAACCTCCAAAATAACAAGACTCCAAGTGCAGAACTACTGTTTTCTATGAATTTTCCAGAGCAAACCATGAGAAAGCATCACCTGTATTCAAGAGGGAGCTGGCAGCCACAAGAGATAAGGAAGACAAGGAAAATGAGAGGAAGAGGATGCGTGTAGAGGGATGTGACTAGAAGCGGATGACTGGGGAAGGTCATTGTGAATAACTGGCGCCGAAGAGCAGACGTCTGCGCTTCCAAAGGGCCTTGTCTGCGTTGCCAGCTACGTGACAGCCATCGCCAGGGGCTGGCGCCAAGGGCAGCAGCTTCAGTCACCACAGGCCCATGCTCAGGACGGGAAGTTCCTGTGAGCGCTCTAGTTTCACAGGCAGAAAGAGTGCGTCGAGCAGCACCGCAGTCACTCGGCAGCACCGCAGCCCCGTCCCTCCCACCTCCTCCGGCTCCTTTGCACATCGTCTCCCAACAAACACCCCGGAGAGCTTTTCACTCCTTCAGCTCACAAGAGCAGAAAAGAGCTCGGAAGGCCTCCAGCACCCGGGCATCGCTGCAAGCTCCCTTGGCCTCACAGGGCTTCCTGCCCGCTACTTGTGCACGCACTCGCTGACCTTCAATGTGCAAAAGCAGTTTTTCACTGAAGACAAAGGCAGTTATATTCTAGGATGAGAGATTTCTGGCCCTCACAGTGTATATTACAACATGGGGCTCCAGGTCCTTCCAACAAAGCTTATGCTTCCTAGTTTCAACTGGATGTGGTTTCTGTTTCACCTTGCAGTGTCTTTCAGCAGAGACTTGAAGCCCTGCTTTGCTGGGCCAAGCAACACCAAGTCCGCACACAGCACCAGGAGGTGCCCTTGGCCACAACAGGCAGTGCAGCAGTAGCTTTGAAGACTACTCCGGGGTAGTAGTTCTTCTGGGCCTCTGGGGGCGAGCAGAAGGCTTATCCTCAAGCTTAAGCACAGGCTGGGCAAGCAGAGCACAGGACAGGGCTCCCCTAGGCATGCCATGCGGGTTCAGCCCTCCTGCTGATGGAGGAACCCGCCTCACTTGCTTCTTCAGTGCAGACCCCGCTGCCTCATCCCCGGGCCTGGCAGGAGGCTGCGAGAGCAGAGGCCGAAGCAGCAGCAGCCCAGTCACGGCTCCTAGACACTGGCACCGTGCCGCGAAAGGGGAAAGCGGGAGAGAATTAAAAAAAATAAAAGACAAAACGACAAGTGTTTCTGCTGGGTGGGGGACAGCTCTGCGCCCCCCGCCGCCCCACGCGGCGGCCA